TCTTCTCGCAAGATGGAGACGATATGACACCCGGCCAAACAACCTACACCGGCAGTGCGACTAGCATATTCGGTGCGCCGTCATTATCAATCGCAGTTCCCTTCCTCGTCACACTTCTCAGCTTAACGCTGGCGTAATAGACATAATCGGGATGATTAATACCGCTTCTTACCACAAGCGCTTGTTCCCATGTCCGGGTTCATGGGCTGGGAACTTTTACGAGCATACGACCACTTCTACAGCGTTCTTGGAGTAATACGACTACTGCAGTCCGATTTGCACTTTTCACTTCGACTTCTACACGGGCCCGTCTTCGCACTGCCTCACACTTTTCTTTGATTCAGCAACATACTCATGGCGCAACACCGCCTATAGTGTCTTTACCCTTTTATATTTTCTCTTCTTGTATATACCCTTCGCACGGGGTTCTGCGCAGTCAGCCCGTTTGCCCACGCCTTCTGCCCTGGTCCAGCAGCGGCTCCTTCTCTACCTCGGCCCTTTCTGGCAGAGATTTTACTTATTATATCGGAGTGCACTCCGCCGGATGCTGTTGTTCCACAACCGTCCTTTCGGCCCTCATACCCCCAAGCCGCATACCACCGCGTCGCCTGTTTTTGCATTGGAAAGAGAAAAGAATCGGAAGATACCATCTTAGACCATTATGCGTCGATATATCCTAGCCTATGACAGCTACTGCCATAAGAAATTAAACAATTCAACTTAATCTCTGCTCTTGCGGTCGTTCGTGTCATCTCATTTCTGACACGCACTGTAGGATGAAAAAGGGTGTTGCCCTGCATCTCATCAATTGCAGAGATCCCAGTTTGCGTCAACTGTACCTTGCATACGCGCAAGAACTACTCAGCTAGCATCGGAGTTGCGATGGCTGATATCCTGCTCAGTGGAGCTGGCCGGGCTACGACCAACGGAGCCTCACTCCGGAAGCGTCGGAAGACCCTCCATCGCGTCTCGACCAGCCCACGACCAACAACGCCAATCAGACGCGCTATGCAAGCCTATCGAAATCTTGCCCTGCTGTCGGGACGCGTCCGCGACTTAGTTGTCAGAGAACATGTTCGCGGCATGTAGCTCATCCGGCGAGCTTGCCAGAATTGCCTGAAGATCTTGCACCTCAACTCAACGCGAGTCTCAAACTACGACTATAGACTGAACCTACGAGGCCCGGGAAACCTCCCACTGCGACCGCTAAACTCTCCCCGGTGTGTTGTTTTGCACTTGCACGCTGACGCGCGGTCTAGTGCCGTACCCGCGCCAAATTTCTGCTGTGGCGTCTGCCGGTGCGTTTCGGTACTTGGGGTTAGCTGCACAGCTCAGTGACGTAATGGGCCTGTAACTCGGCGCCGTTGCACACCGGCAATTTGGACTCTACTGTTGGTGGAGCGGCGGTTGCTGAGGACGGCCCAGGTACTCCCGTGTTAGTGGGGCTGCGAGTCTATTGGGAGCTGAGAGTGGCGAGAGGATGTTCTGAGATACTTCGTTGTGAGATGACACCTATCGAGGTAACTTGTCACCACGGAAGTTTTTGACAGATGATTTTATCTCGTCCTTCGAACTCTAACGCGTCTTTTATTCTGGCTCCCTTGTCCACCAGCCGCTGCATCGGATCCCCTCCTGCTCCTGTTCGCATCCTGCATGAAGCTTGTGTTTGCGCGCCCCCCTGCGTTGCTCAAATCTCTTGCAGCTACCTAAGCTTCAGCATGGCGGCAACCTTGCTCTCTTCGGGGTGCACTATTGAGCGGGAGAAGGCTTGTTTCAATTTGGCATTGCATTAGCGTTCGCCGGTGGTGCGATGAACCGGGTCGGCGAGACCATGTTGTCAAGACGACCTCCGGCTTCGATTGCGGCTTGCATAGCCACATTTCGTTCTCGACTTACATGCATTGTACTAGTTAGCCGATCCCGAGATCTGTTAACGGGTGTATCAGGACCGACGACTTCAGTACATAGTGAATGCTACCTATGTAGCTCAGGGACTGCACCACGGATAGGGTGTATGGACATAATGCATGGATAGGGACTCATAAGTATGTTTTCAGTCGCATGAGCTTTCAGGTATGCCCAACGACCCGCAGCGTAAACGATCCATGGATGCTTAGGTGTCAAATAACGCCGTGAGATCAATCGGGTAAGTTAGAGCCATCTCCAAAGTCGTACCATGGCCATGAAGCAGGAGCTACACCTTCCGGTAATGTATAACGGCAGTCGTGATGGAGATGCTCGCAGTTGCTTCCTATCCGCAAGGAGAGCCGCTCCTGCTGTTCTGGTTCAGGGTCCAGTCGCTGCATTTGCATCCTTATCGCGAGGTATCAACACCGCAACTATTCAACCACACTCTTTTCTGCACGTCTACGCTCGTTTTGGCTTCAGCAGCTCGCGCGCGTCTCTAGGCTTTCGAATTTTGGCTCTTGGCTCTTTTGGCTTGTTCAGATTTTACCTGTTGTTTTCCATTGTGCAGTACGATACACATCAAATTCCAAGCGGCATCGCAACATTTTCCCAAATTCAACGCGAGTAATTGCAGCGGTTTCTCTTTCGGTGCGGATCTTTACACTGGGGTATCATCCCATCTGCCGGTCGGTCTGTCAGCTTTCGAGGTTGGGTATTGGTGCTCCAGTCTCTTGTTCTCACAATCGACAACAGCAGCTGGGCGTTCTCCTCTCACCTCTCGACACTGGACGGGATGCGCGTCCAAGACTTCTACGTCCTTCTCTTCTCGGCAATCGTGAGCGGTAGGCTCTTCGCCGAGTCTGAGTACCTGCCAGACGTTGAAGAGACCACGACCACGATAGGCGCGAGCCCAGCTTCGGTTCCTACGTCGAGTTCGCCTACTGTGACATCTATCGTTGCTTTGGACGGCATTGAGTAACTTTCCAGTATAGAGAGTGTGATGTGATAGATACTAACGATTATATAGGCTCCGCCAGGGACCTGGCGTTGCTCCACTCGAGGGTGCACCCGCGCCAGTTCAGCAACCACCTGCCGTAATTACAGCGATACCAACTGCAGAACCTGTCCCGGCTCTTCCTGTCAATCCCGCACTCCCAGTGCCTGCACTACCTGCGCCTGTAGCCATACCTGTTCCCGCTGTCGATCCTGTCGTCAATCCTATACCATCACCAGCTCTTGCGCCTCCTGTCAATGCAATCGCGCCGGCAGCTCCGCCCATCAATGTTGCCGGAACTGCAGGCGCAGACGTTACGCGATTGGCGAAACCGTTCAGCAACGTACCCTTTTACACTGTGGTGTGGGCTGAAACATGGATTGGCGGGACATATTCCACTTGGTGGCCATACACTATATCGCTGGACTTCAAGCCTGTTCAGACAAACGCCCCACTTCCAGGGTCAGGGTCGATCGGTATGGGTACGCTCACTGGTAAGACAGGAGTGACGCGGACGATCGTGGTGAACGCTGCACCTACACAAGGGGTAGGCTGGGCCAAGGGCCTTGCTGCAGCTGTTGGAGTTGGCATAGCGGGCATGGCTGTATGATGGCAAGCGATGTGCAGATGAGGGGCGTGATGATTTATGGAAGAAAGAGTTAGATTTCATTCCAGCTGCAGATTTGGATCTGGACATACTAGACGTCATATATGGCACTTGAACGACTTACGATGCATGTATATTACGCGAAGTATGATAGCAACGGTCAGCATGACAAAAAGTTATGGGAGACGAATGTTGGGTGATAACGAATAGCTGCGAAGCCAGTGCGAGTATCCCCTTGTCCTAGGAATAAGAAGACAATGCAATCATGAGGATATATTATATGGAAGTCGTCCAGCACCACCAAAGCCGGTGATCTCTGAGCTCGCTATGCGTTTTCAAACTTCTTGTCTTCATCGTCCTTCCCCTACCCCCTGTTACGCCCCCAAAAATTCCATGATGAGCTTAGTCGTTGCATGCATGGCGGCCCTGGGCGGTGAAGAAGCTCACGTCGGAGTGTTTTCCTCCAGCATTGCAGGGCTTGTCGTCCTCAAACAGCGGCGCGACGTTCAAGCAAGATCTGGTGCAGCCGCCATTGTTATCCTAAATTTTTGGTCAGTCCCGTGTCTCTCTTCCTAAGGATTTCGAGGCACGTACAGCGACACAACAATGGGAGCCGTCCTGGTACAAGCACTGGCAGTAGATAGAGGCCTGGGTACCAATGGCCATAGTAAGGAGGAGACTGAAGACGGCGGAGAGGCGGACCATCTTGATGTTGATCCGGAAGAAGATAGAGATTGGTTGATTTGGAGTCGAGTGAATGCATGAAGAGGACGAGTCTAGGTACTTTATAGAATCCAAGACATCTAGTGGTCAGAACGAATGTATTGACTGAGCAAATTCTGGATCAATGAGCCAGTCTATCTCGCAGGTGACTGCGGCGGAATCAAGTGTCACGGTCATCGCCATTGTTTCCCTGATACTTGAGGGCCAAGCAGAATACGACCTCAGGGGTGTTCTGATTAGACGAAGCCATGCGATGAACACGGTACTTACCACGCGAAGCCCGAGTACACCTCGTATACCATAACCACGTGTTGAGGACCAAGGCCTATCTTGGCTTAGAAAGACAAGCTCAGCTAAGCTAAAGAGTCCAGTGCCTGGGCCACTGCTAATGGCCACCGAAGTATCGTCGAAAGATGTACCGATGAGGCTTTAGATCTTCTCTGTTCTTTGCAATTTGCGGTGTGTAAAGAACAGTATGGGGAAGCAAGCCGAGATTGGTACCTAGTTGAGCAGGTAGTAGAAGGTCCGAAAAAGATACACGAAAAGGTCCGAAAACAGACCAATCAATCCGCTCTAGCCGACTTGCTATCACGATACTAACGAAATGCTTCGCCTTCAGGACAATGTGATAGATGCAAGAGAACATGTTAAAAAGGCAGGTGATTTCGCCTCTGCAGTGGAGATATCACAGCAACCAGCAATACTTCTCTCACCACTTCAACACCCAACTCTACTTCAACTTACTCACTCTCTTCTCAATCCGTCATCATGGTCCGCCTTCTCTCCGTCGCCGCGGTCTTCTTCACGATCGTGTTCGGAGCTCAAGCTTCCCACATCTGCCAATGTCTCTTCCAGGATGGCTCGCACTGCTGCGCCAGTGTCGTAAGTCTCTCAAAGCTCTTGAATATGAGGATTGCGCTAATTGCGGCCTCGCTCCTTTACAGAACAACTTTGGTGCTGCGGAAGATTGCCAGGTTGTCTGCGTGGACAAGAAGCGTAACAAGGACGGCGCGGCCTGCAACGCTGGCGGCAAATGGTCCAGCGTTGGCGGCTTCACCGTTCAGTTCCGCGAGCCATGCCAGTGAAGCGTCTCTGGCGGAACAACCGTACTTGGCGCCAAATAACAATGCTGTTGGAGGCATGGTGGAGATGTGTGGATCATGATGGGAGACGGCGGCCTGAGCGTGATGGACGGAGAGTGGAGCGTATGGTCCTTGTGGATCGTCCGAGTCGTTTAAGGAGAAGGCCGGCTCTACTAGAATAATATGTCTGTATCGTTAATGTAACACCGTTCTCGTCAATTGCAATCCCAACCACGTGCAGAGATAGGTGTCTGAGCCCAACGTGCTAACGTTTCATTGTTTTCACTGTGTTGGTCGATGCCAGTTTTGGAGTAAAGGAGTGATGGGTGATGAGGATACGACACTTTTAGTATAGTAATCACGGCGGCGGTTAGTGCCTCCACGTGACGCCTGCTGCGGCGGTAATTCCCCGCGGGCGGGGTTAGCATGCCAACGCGTTGTTCCCACCTGGGCAAGACCGAAGCCCCAACTCAACTTTGCGCTCTGCCTGTGCGATACACGTACTCTGTAAAAATGGAGGTATTGGACAAATGCATTAGAAAATTCATCGTGCGATGGGTGTAACAGCCATAGAGACGATTACACAGGTCAACAAATGGCGGTGGGGTGATTCCCGAGGTATGTGGCGCGACTTTCACGCTACTCGCAGACGATCTTGCCCTTTTCGGACCGAGGCTTGGAATCTTAACGTGACGGCGAGCAGACGACGATACTGACGATAAGGTGATTGAAATCGCTATCACGCACGAACTGCTTTGTATAAGACTTGAATTAATCCGACAGTGTTGTCTAACATAGTTTCAAGCTCATCATCATCGATTGTCGGACCTCCGTCAGCAACAACTCCCCGAGTCAGCATCACCCGATCGGAACAAAGAAGAATCAAGATATCAGCAACGAACAACATACCGTCATAGGATCTTGAAGGAACATATCTCGACTGTGAACCAAACGACTCGACCCACCAGAGTTGCATATTGCGAGTGGTCAACCTCGGAATATATCAACGACTACGATTCATTACTGCTGTCGATCGACCATCTCCAATCCATCGCCAGGCTCGACAAACAAAGGAGCAAAATCTTCGAAAATGACAACGGCATACTACTTCGCAGCACATTTCAACATACCCAGAACGCATGCGACCGATGATGCATCGCCATTTCCTGCAAGCACGCCGAATACCATCTCGCCATTCTCGTTCATCCCAATTACGCACGGATCAGTACAAGCCCAGCCTCTTGTTTCAATGGCTTCAGAAATAACCACAATGGAAAGAGGCGTAACGAACCCACAGCCGACCTCAATCCTCTTCCGCCTACCGGCTGAACTCCGAAACCAAATCTACGAAGAGCTCCTCTGTCCGAACACACCGCACCACAAAGATCTCGCTACATACTCTACGTCATCCAAACCTCCAACGGTATACCCGGCCATCCTCCGTACATGTCGCAAGATCCACGAAGAAGCCCAGGATCTCTTGTACACAACACACGTGTTCCATGCCCACCGCTCTCTCCTGACTGCCCTACCACATCTGATCTTACCCGAAAAGCCAATCTTGTCTCCAACCAGCATCGCGAAGATCACGCGCTGGCAGCTTGAGCTACGGCTAGATACCGATCCCCGGTTTACCAGTAGTCAAGCTACGGCCGCATTCTCTGGTGCGGAGTTTCTCCAGGTCAAGGTTTGGCAGAGTATGTTTGATGGGGCGGACAATTCGGTGTTAAAATTGTTTACTGGGGTGAGAGGAGTGGGTGTTGCGAAGGTTACGGGGTGTGATGATGAGAAATTGGCGAGGTGGTTGGAGAAGAAGATGATGATGCCGATTGAGGAGGAGAGCAGGGAAGGGGGATGTTGTCAGTGTAGAAACAAGGCAGATGAGGAGCTGGAGTGGTTTGGTGTGGCTAGAGATGCTTGGACTTTTGGGAACAGGTAGGGAGGAGGATGACGTTGGGTTGACTTTCGATTGCACCTTGAAGCATTTTCTCTTTTTGGGTTTGTTACACGGGAATCACTCAATGAGACCAATGAATTTAGACTTAATTGCAGGAACAGTGCCTGGGTGCCCTATATGCCATGCTTTTGGAGGTCTACACACGGGAATGGCCCCGAAGCGGTATGTGCGAGAATGGTGGATTGGCAACCAATCACAATGGTGCGGTACAGCGAGGAATATGAAGTGGTAGGCTTGTTCGTCCATCTGACAAGCTAAGACATGCCTGTGTTGGACCATGCGTAAGCTGGCCATGGGGTTGCTGATGCCAGATGCGATTACATTAAAATTCGGTTCTAGCAGAGGTCTAGGCCACTCAATTATCGATTATGGGCGTGCTGCTTATGAATGATATATCGGCCGGGCTCTGACAACGAAGAGATGGGGTAACAACTACATGGGGGCCGAAGAGGAGCCTGGGAAGGAAGATATGGGGAGACGTCGGAGCGTGGTGAGCGCGAGTCTGTGCTGGCGCAGGGGAGAAATACATGATGTCATCATTTCTCTCCACTCGTGATTAGTGGTCACATTCGTCTTCAATGTTTGAACCATCAACTCTCAGCTTCGATACGTACTCTCATGCGATGACAAAATCCTGCACTCTCTGTTCCAAGCCACGCGACGTCCTCGTGCGCTGCCAGATCGACGAATCGCAAAAATGGCATTTCGTCTGCCCTGGTGCATGCTGGAAATCGGTCTCTGGTGGCGTTGAGGACGCGAAAGGGATGCAAGATGAATATCCATATTACCGGTATGGGGGCATGGTGAGTTGCTGAAAGGTTCTGGGGGAAAGAGAGCCGGCTAATGTGAGACTGCGAATAGTGGAAGGACAGAAGTGCGGACGGGCCGGTTAGCGCGAAGAAGCCGAAAAAGGTCAAGGAGAGGCAAAAAGAAGAGATGAAAGCTAGGGAAGGGGGCGCTGAGGCTCAGAGCGAAATATGAACATTACACGAGGTAGGCAAAGATGCACATCCTTTGATCGGATCGATCAAGGTGTGGCAATACGCTAACCACGGCAGCCCTATGACGGTGTATCCAATGCCGACATCAAATCTATATACTATAACGGAACTTCCTGTTGTTGAAGTCGGTAGTATCCTCAATGGCATCCACGTCGCTTGTATCAATGCCTTGCGAATGCGAGCTCTCGGCTTCTTCGCGATCGCGCCGGGCATTCCGCCGTACGAGCAGGGCTCGCAGGCAAAGCGCTAGCACGACCTGAGAGACTGCGCATCCCAAGATCATCCTTACACCGGTCTCGTATTTGGGCGCTTCCTTTGCCAGGAAAGCTTGTGGTCCTGAGGCAGGTGATCTTAGTGACCGCGGCCTTGAGATGGGGTTTGACGGTGTTGTAAAGCTTACCGATAATGTTACCAACACAGTAACCCAAAAAGACGAAAGCTGTGCTAGTAGTACGCTTGGTGTAGCCGCCTACATTTGATGCCGGAAATTGAAGCGCAATCACCAGAGACCCAACGAAGGCGCCAATCTACCTTTGTTAGAAACATTTCTGCAGAGCGACAAATGATGAAGACGAACCATGTAATAACCCGCCAAACACCCAGCCAGATTAGTGCGTGGAAGTTGCCAGATCAGACATGCGCCGATGATCGTTGGACAGAGGTAAAGAGCCATGATGTATGTGCGCGCGTTCGGCAGTCGAGATGCGAGAAAAGGGCCTGTGAAAACCCAGAACACTTGAGCGAATCCCTGCGGGATGCCATACAGTGTTGTCTTGAGCGGATCACCTCCCGCTGCGTCCTTGACAATGAGCTTGCCGAAGTTTGCAGTGCCACCGTTGATCATTTCGTTGAGCGTGACAAACAGAAAGAGTATCCAGATTTGCGGGTCCGTCAAGGCCTCCCAGACCTGAGGCAGCTTGATCTTGCGATTGTACACTCCGGTGCGATTGCTGGCGGCGCGCGCGATCAGGAGAGCCTTCTCTTCGACAGAAAAGCTCTTGGCTGTCATGATGTTGTTCGGCAACCTGAAGAAGAGGACTACAGACCATAAGACGGTCATACCTCCACAGATGATGTATATGATCTTCCAGACGACGAAGGTCTTCGCATATCCGGCGCCGTAGAAGAGGATGCCCCCGACGGCACTACCGAGGCCGTTGAAGCAGTAGAACATACCCGCTCTTGCGGGTTGTTGTCTCCCTACGTACCACATTCCAACGATCTGCAATAGTAAGGAGACAACGTTAGCGTCTGGGGGGCATGCAATCTGAAATAGCAAGACTCACCATCATGAATGCGGGCGTCACAACACTCTCGAAGACACCCAGGAGGAAGCGCATGACAGCGAAGCCCGCGAAGTTGTGCGTAGCAGCTGTAAGCAGCATAATGGAGCCCCAACAGAAGCAGAAGAGCGACACCACTCGGCCGGTTGGAAAGTGCTGCGCAAGGTATGCAGATGGCCATTCAGCGAACAAGTAGGCAAAGTAGAAGATCGACGCCAGCCAGGAGTACTGATCACCGGTGATGCCAGTAGTCTCGAAGAGATCGAAGACGGCGGAGTAGCCCATTGCCTGCTTGTCGATGTACTGGAGGAAGAAGGTTCCACATAACAGTGGTAGTAGTAATAGATCGACTTTCCTGGAAACGCGTTTGTTGGCCATGTCGTCTTCCAGGAGCTCAGCCATGTACTCCGGTGTTATGTTGTGTTGCCTTAAGAACAGGTTTGCTTCGTCGAGGTCTTCAACTTCACCCACAATAGCGCTTCCTTGCTTGTGAAGGGAGTTCGCGTCCATACTGCTGAGCTGAACCTCCATGTCTTTTGACATGGTCGGTGTTTTGTGGTCGCATTTCGTGGTATTCGGCTCCGTCGACATGGCTGAAAACGAGGGTCGACAATCAACAAAGTGAGTGATCTATGCGTCGGGGACCAGAGCAGCCATACGAGGATGCTTGCAGTTGAGCTTTAACATAACTTCGGATGAGATACCCGCGTCGAACTACCCCGCGACATCGATCATTCAATGCAAATGAACGGAACCCATGTA